CTACATCTGTTGTAAACATGCTTAGTTGCCTCTTACAGTGGTGCTATAGTAGCCTCTAGAGTGAGATTTTCTGGTTTAAACACTAGGAAAAGCCCCTTCTGACGATCTGTCTTGGAGGTGTTTTTCCCACATTAGCTGGTGGGTGCTTAAGAAAGCCAAATAGCTAACATTGCTGTTGCAAATGCAGCCTTATAACTACAGTCTTCAAATCCTCACTATAATGTAGAGAACTCATTACTCAAATGACACAAATGACTTGTTAGATGAGAAGGACAACAAGCTAGCTAAACTTAGCAAGGTAGCTACTTGGCTATCTAGATATCTTACCTCAGTTTGGCTTCTTTTGTCTGGGTGAAAGAATAAAATCTTGTCTCTGGCATCCACTTTTGTGCTGAATATAGATAGATTTGCTGTATTTTTTACGATTTTGTTCACCCATCGAGGTAAACGCAGCACAACATTGTATTTAGCCTATAGATCAGTGGCAGTCAGGACTGACTGACACCACAAGGTTTTCCAATGGTTTTAAAATATGTGTGTATTGCATGCTGGGTATTGTAGTGAGTGAAAATTTCTGAATAAAACATGAAACTGATATAAACTCACAAATTCTGTCAAACTAATGAGGCTAAAGATGCAATGCTGCACTTCAGAATACCATATATATACCATATATGACAAACAGCATGTTAATCTTTAGTTATATGCCAGAATGGAGACCTTTAATGAGCTAAATAAGTTAGCGAAATTAGCTTGCTAGGTTAGCTAGCCAGTTTTTCCTGTAATATTAGCTAGCTATGTTAAGATTAGGCTACGTATTAATCAAAGTTTAGTTAAGCAAACCCTTAACAGTTTGCACATGTGGTCATGAGAAGTTAGCTAAGAAGTTTGCATTTTAAAATGGTAGCTATTTTTAGCATACATGGTATCTCATTATGATGGTATTTTCTTCCTTGTTTAGGTTGGCTTAAAAGGGCAATGTATGCATTTCAGACCCAAGGAAAGCATGTTAAACTAAGAAGTGTTTCTAAAGGAAATGAATGTTCTGCTAGTTAAATAAAGAAAAAAAGTCTGTTGGTCTATTCCCCCTGTTTTAAAATTAACACACCATTATTTGTCACAGAGAAAACAGAACAGCTCTCAGAGAGTGAAAATAAAAGCCACATTTACTCAGAATTGACATGCGCAGCGTCATTCAGAGAGATGGCAGTTGATGCATTATCCCCCCCCCCAACACTTCTTAACCAGTCCGGCTGAGCGTCCCACCTGTGTGTGAACACACATAGAGACACACACTCTCAGACAGAGCCACAGGTTCCCACAGCATTCACGTGCACGGCAACACCAGGCTTTCCTATCAGCTCTTGTGAACAAGGCCGCCTTTCAGTAGCTCATCCAGCTGCACATGCCCCGCACACACTGGCTCACTGTTAGGGACAGGGACAGGGAAACACAGATAAAAAAAGGGCTAAAAAAGAGGAAAGGTGGATTGAAAGAGAAGGCCTGTGAGATGCAGCGCAGGAGAGAAGACGGAAAGCGCTAACGGAGCAAGTAGAGGCAAGCTGTGGTTGCCCAACGTGTTATAAAGTAGGCCCCAAGGCTCAGCTTGTCTACCATTGTCCTCAAGGCTCGGGGAAAAACATCAGCTTAAAAAAATCTAACTTGCAAAGGTTTCACCCTTACCCCAAATGTAGGCAGGCAGACACAGACAGTGTTTTGATGGCTGACGTTTTCTTCATTAAGTAGATAACAAGTTACAGAAGCAGGCCTGGCCCTGTGGGGGTGCAAAAGCATGCATTGCACCCTCAGTTGGAATTTGTAACCTTTGGGATAAAATGCATTTAGACAGCCTTACTCATACCCAAGGGTGCAATTTTGATTTGAGATTGAGAGGCTTTAGGTTACATATAATGCAAGCACTACATAAACATTGCAAATTTCATACATAAAACTAGGTCGACAAAATACACCAAGTTACCATATTTTCATGATATCTGCTTTATATGTCAACATTAAAGCAGACAAACAAACAATGTTATTAACAGGAATTACATATGTTGACACTTAGTAGTTTAGACAGATCATCACAATGTTGACACAATTAAAAGGTAGTGAAGTTAGCTGTTCGGCTACCTGCTTCACTAAGTGCTGCTGCACACTGAGAGGGACTCATTTTGGAAAAGCTGAGTATGCATGTGGTGCTTTTAGACTTATTTTACACAGTGTATATTTTCATGTGAAATGAAATGAAACTTAAATATAGTCGATATATCTAATATTTCCCATTTTGAGATGGTCGTGCACTTATTATAAGATTAGCTTATTCCTAGACACTTGTCACCTGTTTTAAGTCATTTTATGAAGTAAAATTGTCTTACTATATGGGCAGATAAGCCATTAGAAAGCAAACTCATTAGGTTTTAATCCTTATGGTTTCTAATGGTTGTTTTGCAACAGGACATACAATCATGAACAAACAGCAGTCATGGATTTCATTATATTTTCTAATAACCACTCATCAGTATGCTCCCTCCTTTTAATTTTGATGTACCCTCAATTATTTTTATTTCAGGAACTGAGAGCTTATATAGACTAATTAGCTTGAGTAAACAACATGTCTAAATCATCACACACTAGCCTCAAACCACGTCTTGCTGTTAAGTAATTTTAAATAGACTGTGGTTTTTCACATTGTATGACACAGCGTTATTTGGGAAAATGGACAGAAGCACCAAGAACACTCAAGCTTCAACTCAGCTGATACTGTTTTTAGATATGAAACATGACATCATGTCATACAGAGTCAGAAACCACATCATGTTTATTTGAGGTTGCTTAAGAACTGAGTGATTATTTTGGAATGCATTTTATGCTGACCTGGCCACTATAGGCTTTTATTACTTCTCATCTACATTAGCCTCTTAGCTCCAGTGCAAAACTAAAGAAAAAACTTCAGACAGCAAACGTGTCTTGACTGATCCATCCTTACAAAAGCCTCTTCAAGGGTTCTTTAGTAAAGGCAGTGGTTTGTATATAGAGAGTGAACACTCACAGTACTATTTTAATCCATAATTTTGTGTATTTATTTATTTATTTCTTGCATGGCTGAATGGTTCTTCACAGAACCTTAAACAGTACTCTACACAATAGTGTGCAAAGGTCAGAGACCACCACTTCATTTATTGTAATTCCAGTCAAAGCAGCCACGGAACAGTTTTTCGGGAGATATTTCTAAGCGATTGGATGAGAACAGAATAACGCACTTGCAAAAGGCAGGAGGAAAATAATTGAAAAAAACAGGTGTTTCCAAAACCGGAGGTCAAACATGATCGAGAGCTACAGGGAAAATGGGACTCCTTACAACCACCTGCAACACCTGGTAGACCACCAAAACTGTCCCCATCAGATAAACAGCACTTAAAGCTTTCATCTTTGAGAGAGAGGAGAAAATCAAGCTGCTTCAGATCTGAAAACATCCACAGGTATTTCTGTCCATCCTTCCATTGTGAGAAGACAACTCAAGCTCAATCTTGCAAATCTGATTGAATACAATCTGATTATAGATTAAGACTGAGGTGTTTATTTGCTTAGTCCCCTGATCAATCTGATGGCGAATCTCTGTTTACATGCACACTACAAGTAATCTGATCCAAAATTACGTGCATGCATGGAGTAGTGTAGACGTTACCATGATGACAAGCATCACGTCCAGTCAGAGTCCAGTCAGAGTCCAATCAGAGTAAGACGAGCAGCAGTGTTACCCGAGTTCTCAGCTGGCGTGCTTGTGTTTTTAACTGCCTTTAATTATGTCAGACTCAGGAACAGGAAAATGTACTTCACGTGTACTTATTAAAGAAGGACGAGAGAAAGACGTCATGCTCTGAGACACATAAGCTGGACGCCCGTCCCACCGCCATCTTTTAAAGTTCAAAGCATAAACTTCATCTACTCTGTGATACGAACGCACATGTACAGAATGTATGAAAACTTTCCGATTGGCAATGTAATGAGATACAGACGTTTACACGGCTATTATTCGTCTACTTAACGGATTATTAACAGAATTACCCACCTTGTTCAATCGGATAGAAATTGTATTCTGATTGGCCTCAATCGGACAACTCTATTCCAATTGAGGTACTAGTCAGATTATTATTGGATTATCAGGCTGCATGTAAACTTAACTAGTGAGAAAAGGAAACCGACAAAAAAGAAGAAATAAAGAAGCTGCTGGTGTTTTCAGAACAATGGACTGACCACCCCAGAGTCCAGACGTCAATATCACTGAATCTGTTTGGGATTATTTGGATCATGAGAAGCAGAAAATGCAACCAATTTCTAAGACTGAACTTTGGAGGTGTAAAAAATGTCCTTGTAGATTTCTTGAAAAACTACGGAAGTCCGGAGAGGCTGTGAGAGACTTATCATTTTCTGAGCTCCCAAAAGCCTCTTGAGATAACAAGTTAATTGTCTTGTGATCTCAAGATGACAGTTGTTTTTTTTGAGATGACGAGTTAATGATCTTGTGATCTCAAGATAACAACATTCTTTTTTTGAAATCACAAAATAATTCACTCATTATCTCAAGAAAACAATCCAGAAAATTATAACAACAGCTCATGGCCTCTCCGGACCTCCGTAAAAAACTGAACGCAAGTCTTCTGAAAAGAATGGAAGCTGTAATGAAGGTTAGTGGACACACTAAACGATGAAAAAAATGATTTTATATTTAGTTATTGAAGTATTTATTCCATAGTAAAATGAATAACTTATACTTACTGGATGGACTGGAAATGATATAAATGAAGGGTGGTGTCTTGTTACTGTGGTGTCTTGTTATTGTGATGTCTTGCCCGGTTCTGTAGAACCTTCCTGCTAAATTCAAAATTTGTATAAATGTGATTTAGGGCCAAACAATAGTTTTAATCCGTCTCTCTCCCGGGAGCAGAGCTCTTTCAGTGCTGGAGCCTTTCTGTTGTTCTCCCTCTTTCTCTGTCTCGCCCTCGCTATCCACTTCTGATTGTCTTTTACAATTATGTTTAATTTGTATTGCTCACTCTCACGCTGCGTTTCACAACAGCCCTTTCTCGTCCGCTCCCTTTTGTCTGTCATAGTCATGCCCTCCCTCTTTCACACAGACAGATGACAGTTCCCCTATCTCTCAGTGCCTCTGTTTCACATGGGCACTTGTTTTGTATTGACTGCTTTTAGCTCGCTGCCTCAATCTGAGTGTTCCCTTTTCAACACTTTTACATATCACTCACTTTTTTTGCCATTTTTGTTTAATCAGTCGCTTCTTTTTGAGTGGGAGTTTTTTTCTGCTTCTTCTTTTCTCGTGGTTGGCTGGTTTTTGCTCTGCTTGTTTACTCAATCAGGTGGAGGTGTGGTGGTAGAGCGAGTGAGAGACACAGAGAGAGCGAGTGAGTGAGAGACAGAGGGAGAGGCGCAGCTGCTGCTCTACAGCTCGCTCGTCCGGGGTGTTTCTGGCAGTGAACAGAGCGGAGCCTCTCAGGCAGAGAGAGAGGCTGCTCTGGGCTCCTCTTTTTTGTGGGGCAAAGGCGCAGATAGAACCCCTCCTCCAGCCTGACAGTCAGCCAGCCGGCTGGCCAGCTGAGCCCCATGGGACTGTAGAGCTCCGGGACTTTCACACAGATGCCCCTACGGATCCAGAGGGTCAGCGGAGGGAGCCAGAAAGAAGATCAGGCTTTCACCATGATCCGGAAAGAGGCCAAAAGGTACCAACACTCTTTGAGGGGCCTTTAACAGCCCACCAAACACATTCACTGACACACCTACACCTGTACTTGTGCAACTGCTGTTTTGCTGTCCTGATGGCCTATGAGGGGGAATATTTTGCTCTGCTAGCTTTTCAATGCTCATTTCGCTCTTCTGCAGGCTTTTGGGTGTTCACTTTGCTCTTCTACAGGCTTCTGAGGGCTCATTTTGCTCGTCTGCTGGCCTTTGGGGGAACATTTTGCTCTTCTACAGGCTTTTCGGGCTACATTTTGCTCATCTGCTGGCTTTTGGGAGGTAAATTTGACTCTTCAAAAGGCCTTTGAGGCCCCATTTTTCTCTCCTGCTGGCTTTTGGAGGCACATATTGCATTTCTGTAAGCATTTGGGGCCGCATTTAGCTCTTCGGCTGGCTTTTGGGATGCAAATTTTACTCTTTAGCTCCCTTTTGGGACTACATTTTTTCTCTCCTGTTGGCTTTTGGGGTCACATTTTGCATTTCTGTGGGTTTTTGGGGTCACATTTTGCTCATGTGCTGTCTTTTGGAGGCACATATTGCACTTCTGATAGCTTTTAGGGGCACTTTTTGCTCTTCTGCAGGCCTTTTGGGGGCACACTTTGCTCACCTTCCGGCTTTTGGGGGCACATTTTGCTCTCATGTAGACTTTTGGGGGCCCATTTTGCTTTCCCCCAGACTTCTGGAGGCCCATTTTGCTCTTATGCTTGCCTGTTGGGGGCACCTTTTGCTCTTCTGCAAGCTTCTGGGGGCACATTTTGCTCTCCTGCCAGACTTTTGGGGGCACATTTTGCTCTCCTCCAGACTTCTGGGGGCACGTTTTATTCTCATGCAGACTTTGGGGGGCACATTTTATTCTCATGCAAACTTTTGGGGGCACATTTTATTCTCATGCAGACTTTTGGTGGCTAATTTTGCTCTCCTGCAGACTTTTGGGGGCACATTTTATTCACATGCAGACTTTTGGGGGCTAATTCTACTCTCATGCAGACTTTTGGGGCCACATTTTGCTCTTCTACTATCTTTTAGGGCCACATTTTGCTCTCCTGCTGGCCTGGAACCATGTTTCTAGATGGGTTATGTTTACAAGTTCACAGTGCAGTGCAGTGTCTTGCGAGGTCCGTTAGGGCTGTGCAGAGTAGTGCAAAAAAAGAGAGAGAGAGAGAGAAAAAAAACGAGGCACTATAATTGTGGTTACCTGACGAGGCTGTGGCTTCCCTTCATGTTCTTTAGAATTTGCTGTTTAGGTTTCAATTCCCTGCACGCGAGAGAGAGCAGCAGTCTGCTTTTTTTCTCAGGCGCGAGACATGAGACATCGATGCACTGATCAGTGAAGCGAGCAAGTGCTGGAGTTCGGTTTTGGGACTTGAAATGTGTCCGTTTTATACTTTTGCACGTTCGGAGGACTTTTTGTGCTTTGAATCATCCGCGTTGCTATCGTTTGATCTCTGCGAGGGGATTTCTCGTCGCTGCTCTTGACCTTAATATTTCGCGCTGCTGTCATCTGCCGTGGAGGAGACGCAGACAGAGACAGAGAGACGGGGAGAGAGAAAGAGGTGACAGAGAAACGATGTCATTTCGCGAGGACCTTCACAAAGCGAGGAAAAAAGCTTCGCGCTACGTCGCGCGCCGCGCGCACTCCACTCTCGAGCGGAATAGCTCCGGCAGCAGCGGCGGTGGCAGCACCACCTCCTCCACCTCCACCTCCTCCTCCTCCTTCTGCCAGTGAGTGATGCAAATTTTTTCAGTGGCTGAACTAATTTTCTTAGAAATTCCACACAGAGAGGAGAGCGCGAGGAAGGGAGCCGTTGGTAAAAAAACAAAGGGGAGAAAGTGTCGCGAGGTTGTTAGGAGAGAGGTTTGTGGGCCTCGAGTCTTATTCAGGCTATCTCTGAGGTGTTATCTGATTGCTGGGAAATGACAGGCAGCGTGCTGCTAAGAGCTGATAGCATCAGCCTCAAAAACGAGGCTGACAGCAGTTATTAGTAAGAGCTCTGACATGGACAAGCAAATCAAGTGCTATTTTGTGATACATGCTGGTGTTCCAGACCTGTGTTTGTGTAAAAGTCCACTTTTCCTAGTTATATTCAGTCATAAAAACCAAGGGTTCCAACTGGAACCACAAGTAGCGCCACCATAAAAGAACCACTTGTGGTTGTAGGTGTGGGAATCAAAGCAGGTCCCCCACAATACAATATCGCAATACGAAAGCAGCACTTAAAGATTTGTGATCCACTGAGTGATGCTATACATATTGATGTATTGCTTGTGACAGCAAAGAGAAACCTTTCTGTGCTATTTACACTGTGTTTGCGTCACTGTTATTGTCTTTATTGAAGCAAAACAGAATTGTAAAGTAGAAAATCAACATGAATTGTTCTTGCAGTTTCATATTTAGTAGATGCTGTTACCTGTGCAGCAGATAAACACGGTTTAAAAACAGGCCACATTAGGTAAACACATTTCTCCGGAGAAATATAAAATGGCAGGTAAATGTAATATTATTTTGGACACTCACCTATTAGCATATTATGCTTTTCTTTTATGTCTAAATTGTGATTGAACCCCATGTTATCTACTACACTGTCACACAATTCCCAACAATAACTCTACTGATAGAAGCTTTGGTCTCACCAGACAGAAACAGCGCTATCCTGATTAAGACAGAGTCTATTATTCATCTATTATTCAAACAATGGGTTTAATATATATTAAATTGGTCTATTATAAAATATTCTGAATAAATAAGAAAATATCCATACTTAGGCCTCCGTTTCCTTATTCTTTTCAAACCCAAAATATTGAACATTATACTCTATCAATTTTTTTCTCCCTCTCCTATAGAACCTTTCATTGTATGATTATTTAAAGCTACACTGTGTAGGTTTTGGGGATTTGGAGACCCCTGTGGTTGAAATGTGTAGCTGCATGCGAAATGCCTGTGAAAGAATGCCTGTTAAAAGCAAGGGTTGTTTTTCGGACCCCTTGCCCATGCGGATGAATCTTATGATTGAGTTTGCGTCGACAGAGAATTCAAAGATAACTCAGTCAAAACTTGGTGAAGGACGCATCTTGTGAATTATGTACTATTGTTATCATATTTCCATCAGTATGTTTGCATTCGAGCCCTAAACATCGAGCGGGATCTTCTTTTTGAGCCTTTGCATGTGACGCTAATACGTAAAGTGGTGGTTAAGTGGTTAGCGCCGTGGGCGATTGATGACTGTGTTGCAGATTCAATACACGCATCTGTTGAGCTGCCACTGTAGGGCCCTTCAGCCAGGCTCCTTCAACCTGACCCTGCTCTCTGGCCCCAGCTTTCTGACACACAAAGAAAAGAATTTTGTTTTACTGTGCAAATGTATAAGTGTGGTGACAATAAATGTACTTAAAGACGTATGCTGTGGGGCAAAAAACGCTCTGCGAAACCCGTCGTCTTTATGCCTTAAATGGCCAGGGCCCACTGGCAGGCCCACATTTTTATTACACACTCCTATAATCTGAGAATAGCTTGGCCAGTTAGCATTGAAGTCACTGTAGTTACTGAATAATAAGCCTTAATATGTAATAAGTTAAATTAATATTTCAGGCTTAAAATGTGACCCATGCCATATTATAGCTTTTTTTTCTGACTCAGTAATGCTATATCTTTCAATTCTAACAAAAAAACCTATTATTCAGTAACTACAGGGACTTCAGTGCAAACTGGCTGAGCTATTCTTGAGTTATAGAAGGGTGTAATAAAGCTTTGGGCCCACTTCTGTGCCCTGGCCATTTAATGGGTTAAGGAACTATGTAAATGAAATGTGCAACTAGTTTATATAACCTCCATATAATGTTCCAATTAAACAGTTTTCTTAGAACCAAGCCAAGAACTGTTCAGGAACCTTTATTTTTAAGAGTGTATGTGAGCAGAGGATGTTCACACATGAGCTTTTGCCCACTTTTGGAGTTTTTTCACAGATAAGCCTATTGTGCGTCTTGTTTTTCAGTGCAATGGGTCTTTTTTGTGTACATAAACAAACATTTTGATAATCCAGTTTTACCAGTTTTTACAGCACATAATCGTGGTGTTTGTAGTCCAGCTAAGGCTTTTGTTTCGAAGCCTGTAAGCAGGTCTCTTTTTAGGCCTAAATGAGATTCACGAGTTGCATATTGTCACTGTCATAACAAAACCTTGTATCTTTAATATACGTTAATGTGAAAAGATGTTCACACAATGTAAAGTTTTGAAATGGTGTTAAAAAAAAACCCCCAAAACCAATGAAGTCACATGGTTTTGATATGACAGCGATGACATGAAGCACAATGCTGGTTATGTGTGAGAGGGCTGAGTGCTGGGGACACAGACAAGACAGGCCTTCAAAGCCTTCAGACAATTCTGGCATCGATTAATCAATTAACGAAAGAAAGAGAGGAATTTGCATGTTCCCTGACTCTGTGTGTGCATTGTGTGGCCATGTATTTAGCTCTATATGGGGACTAAGTATCCCCACTAATGGGAAAAACATGGCCATTTGGACTTTGTGTGACCTTCAATTAAAAATGCTCTTTTACAAACAAACCAGCTTTCATTTGAAAAAGAAAAGAGCCAAAAGATTTGACTTTGCTTATGAAGTTTAAAGGGGAATTCCACTGATTTTTTTTTATTTTTGTATAATTGAGTCTGTCAGTCATTGAGATGTAAACAAAGTTATCCACAATAGTTTGTTGTGGACTAATTAATTGTTGAGAAGCCTGCCAATTTAGATTACTTTACAGTGGTGGTGATAGTAACCAGGGCTCACAATGTCTACAATGCAAATATAGCCATTTTATTTATTATCCAAAATTGACCAATAAACTTACTTATAAGTTCTGAGTTTATGAATGATGTTGATAATGGAAAAAATAGTGGCAAATCTGGAAAATATATATATGTGTATATGTATACATTTTAAGCCAAAGCCTTTGCGAAAACCTTCATAAAGCAATGTTTCAGGCATTT